GGGGGGGGGATTTTTTTTAACCCCCTTTGAATTTTTTTTTTTTTTTTTTTTTTTTTTAAAGAATTATTCCATCCAACTTTATTTATCCATTTATTTATTTTAATTTGACCAGAGAGTGGTAGCGTGAGAGAGAGAGCATGAGAAAGCAAGCCACCAGGCCCGGGACTCAAACTATGGTCAGCCATGTAGGAGTCCAGCGCCCCCAACCACAATGCCACCTGCTGGTCTTTAACACCACGCCACCTGCTGGCCCCCTTAGGTACTCTTGATCTTTCATCAGAAAATTTCCACTGCCACCTCTAAGGAGGGAGTTACTATTTCTTTCTCCTCATTTTGACATACACATATAAACTGTAATCACTTTAAGGTTGAAGTGGGACCTCCTGGAGCGTTGAGTACTGTCTTATGCTACAGTCATGTCTTCTGTATTCAGTTTTGATAGGAACGGTGGCACCACACTATACCTGCATAGATATACAGATATGTTGGATGCATTATGGCATACATTTTTTTTTTTTTTACCCAAATTGACTTTAATTTTTTTTTTATATCTCCCAGGAAGAAAATGACTTAGGTCAATATTTAAAAACAAAGTTATTTTTAGCATATGCTTAAATGATTTATTGCTAACAGATTTTTTTAATTAAAAATGATGGTACCAGCAGATGGTGTAGTGATTACATCATTGGACTCCCACGTAGTTGACCATGGTTTGAGTCCCGGATCCATCAGCTTAAACTCATGCTGAGCATGTGTTTATGTGTGCCCAAAATCCTGAGAAGAGAATGGCGGAGAAGAGATTGCAGTGTGGCTATCCCCCCTGGGGGGTGATTTCTTGCTTTTTGTCTCTCTATCTCACTGGCTAGCATACATACCCTATAACAAACTCTTAAAAAATAAATAAATAAAAATGATTCAAGAGTACATTTAGCTACTGGTTTTGGGTAGCTCACTTACCATAATATTTACTTTTTTTTTTTTTTTTTAATTTTTAAGAATTGCAATCTGGGGACCAGCAGATGGCATATTGGCTATGTCGCTGGACTCCCATGTAGTCGACCACGGTTTGAGTCCCGGACCCGGTGGCTTAAACTCTCGTTGGGCGCGTGTGCGTGTTCCATATCCCAATATGAGAATAGAGAAGGGATTGCGGCGTGGCCATCCCCCCTGGGATGGTGATTTCTCGCCTTCTGTCTCTCTGTCTTTCTGGCAAGCACATGCACCCTATAGGAAAAACCTCTTGAAAGAAAAAAGAAAAGAAAAAAATAATAATAAAAAAAAGAATTGCATTCTGAGGGAGTCAGCTGTTTTGCTTGTTTTAATGGCTGAGGCAGGCTAGAAGCATTGTGACTATGTGTGCAAGCAGTATTTTTCACCAGCACAGGGGAGACTGGAAGGACCTATTGGTGTCTGTGGGTTGGTTTGTTTGTTTGTTTGTTTAGAGGTTTTTTGCTATAGAGTGTGTGCATCTGCCAGAGAGAGAGACAGAAAGCAAGAAATCACCCCTAGGGGGCATGGCCATGCCACAGTCCCTACTCCATTCAGGGTCTTGGGCACGCATGCACATGTGCCTAGTGTGAGATTAAGCCACCGGGTCCGGAACTCAAACTGCAGTCAACTACAGGGGAGTCCAGCAACGTAGCCATTACTCCATCTGCTGGTCCTGGATTTTATTTTTTTATTTCATTTATTATAACTATTTTTTCCATTTTATTTTTATTTATTCATTTATTTTAATTTGACTAGAGAGAGAGAGGGAGGGAAAGTGAAAAAGCAAGCCATGAGGTCCAAGACTTCAACCATGATCAGCCATGTGGAAGTATCCAGCGCCTTAACCACCACACCACCTGCTGGTCCAGACCAACTGGATCTGAATTATTGCAATCTGCTCCTGTCTCCCTAAAATCTGGAAGTTAAGGTGGTGGATCTCACAGTCCCAGATCCAGTGGCTTGAAAAATCAGACCAGGAGGGACCAGCAGTTAGCATAACGGTTATGTCACTGAACTCCCATGTAGTCGACCACGGTTCAAGTCCTGGATCCAGTGGCTTAAAATCACGCTGAGCACGTATGCGTTCATGCCCAAGATCCTGAGATGAGAATGGAGGAGAAAGGATTGCAGCATGGCCATCCCACCTGGGGGGTGATTTCTCTTTCTGTCTCTCTGTCTCTCTCTGTCTTTGCAAAAAAAAAAAAAAAAAAATGGGGACGAATAGGTGGCTGGGTGGTTGAAGTGCTGCTCTCATGGTTGACGATGGTTCAAGTCCCATATGTGACGGCTTGCTCTCTCACTTTTCTCTCCTTCTCCCTCTCCCCATCTCTGTCTGGTGAGCACAGTCCTATAACAAATTTTAAAATAATAATAAAATTAAATAATTCTTTTAAAAAATCAGTGTTTAGAGTAACGTTAAGATTGTGGTTTCCTATGGAGGATAAGAGAAGGCTGTGAATGAGGAACCCATGGGTGCTTTGGAGCACTTGTCAGTATTCTTCTTCATGTTATATTCTTTTTTTAAAAAAAAAGAATTATTTAACTTTATATATTTATTTAATTTGACTAGAGAGGGACAGAGCACAAGGGGGGAGGGGGGCAAAAAAGCAAGCTGCCAGGTTTGAGACTCAAACTACGGTCAGCCATGTGGGAGTCCAGTGCCCTTAACCACCACGCCACCTGCCACTCCCCAGATACTTGCATTGTACTTTTTCATTAAGCTACATACATATTTTGTGCACTTTCTCTTATGTGTGTTTTATTTTATAATAGAAAGGGATTCACAAAGCCTAGCTCAGTGAGTTTATTGAGACTTGCAAGAGAAATTATTCTGAGAATCCAGAGTAGCTGGCCATCTTCCAGTCTCCAAATCTTCACTGTTAGCTACGAGTCTCTGAGTCATTGTTGATTGTTTTTGTCTATATGTTTACCAATAGCAAATTCTGGACTAAATCTGTGCTTTTATACACAGCAAATATTTGTGACTCCATGGCCAGAGTTTATTGTCTTGACCTCCCTTCTGCTCTTATCCTAATCTTATTTCCTCACTTTAAAATAAAATCCATAGCTATTTCTTTTTCTTCATTCGTTCTTCTTTTTTTTTTTTTTTTTTTAAGAGAGATTTTTGCTGTAGGGCACATATACTTACCAGAGAGACAGAGAGAGACAGAAAACAAAAAAATCTCCCCCTTAGGGGGAGTTGGCCACACCACAGTCCTTTCTCCATTCTCCTCAGGATTTGGGGCATGCACACGCACATGCCTATTGTGAATTTCGGCTCCCAGTCTGGGACCTGAACTGCGGTTGGCCATGTTGGAGTTCAGCAACATAACCATTATGTCATCCGTTCAAAATTTTGATCAAAATTTTTATTTGAGTTGTCCCTTCCTGGTTCCATATAACTGTTTCATAAAACTACCTTAAAGAATTATAAAGAAATTTGTTTCATTGAGTTAAGGTCAATATTGCTTATGTACCTACAGATATTGAAAAAGAAAAAGAATCCCATTGATGTAATGATACTAGGGGAATGTGTGTGTATGTGTGTGTGTTTATACTAGGGGTATTTTCACTGGAATTGGTAACTTGCTGAGGATAATCTCCCAATGCACAAGTTTTTCAGAGTGATGAAATACTGGCTTTACCTGTTAGTGTTTATTTCCTTACTGAGCTTTGACCAGCTTTTCCTTTCTTCTGTTTAAGGGAACTACTGTGTGCACAGCTAGCTGCCTTCAGCTTCATAAGCGAGCGGAAAGGATTGCCTCAGTTCTTGGTGATAAAGGACATCTCAATGCAGGAGACAATGTGGTGTTGCTCTACCCGCCTGGTAAGTGTGGGATTGGTGGACTAGACCACAAACTTTAAGAGGACAGGGACTCAGGGCCACCGTCTCTGGCCATGTAGGCTGTGTACTTCCCCACAGTGAGAGCACCATATGTCCAGGCCAGAGTGTGAGCCAACAACCCCCGCCCCAGTTGTACAGTATGATGGTTTTGTTGGGACCTTGTCTGCATCTTTAAACAAATGTCTCCCGATGGTGACGTCACCTTCGATCTTTTTTACTCTATGATGGTACAAAAGCCATTCACCTTTAGTGGTATTCTTCGTATATCCATACAACCATTTTGTTTTTCATTTTTAGTACAATACTCAAATTAAGTTACACTTTATTATAAAACAGACTTTGCGATAAATGATTTTGCCCAACTGCAGGCCAACATGAATGTTTTGGGCACATTCAAGGCAGGCTAGGCTAAGCTGTGGTGTTTGGTAAGTTAATATTAAATGCTTTTTTTTTTTTTTTTTTGGAGAGGCTTTTTTGCTATAGGGCGCATGCGCTCGCCAGACAGACAGAGACATAGAGACAGAAAGCGAGAAATCACCCCCCATGGGGGATGGTCACGCCGCAGTCCCTTCTCCTCCATTCTCCTCTCGGGATCTTGGGCACGCACGCACACACGCCCGGCGTGAGTTTCAAGCCACCGGGTCTGGGACGCGAACCGCAATTGACTACGTGGGAGTCCAGTGACATAGCCATTACGCTAACTGCTGGTTCCATTATTAAATGCATTTTGAACTTAACATGGGTTTACTGGGACATAACCTGATGGTAAGTTAAGCATCTGTTTTCCATTATCAGTGCCTGGCATGTAAAAGGCATTCAGTAAATATTAAATGAATGGATGAAGACTTCGGCTACCTGATTTTTGGAAACATTCAAAACAGATGCTTTGTTTGTAGGAGTGTTTAGGAGTGGGACTGTTTCACCAGGTTTCCAAAAGAACACTGTACATGAACACTCTTGACTTAACATTCCTAGTATCATGACTGGTGTTTAATACTCCTCTGTTATTGCTGCTTTCATCTTTCATGTTTGAATTTAACTATCTTCTTTTCAGAGGAAATAAGAATTATTTGGTGACAGTTTGGTGTGAAACTTTTTTACAAAATTTTATTCTAAATTTTTAGGTGAAATATTTGAGTTGTCCCTTCCTTTATTCTTTCTGCCACCTAGCCCGTTCTTGCAGCCTTCTTTGGACTTTTATCCCCCTCTGTCATTGTACCCTCTGGTTCTGTCTATGCTATTCATTTACATGGATACAGAGATTTCCTAGAAGGTCATCTGGTCTAGGAGTCCCCTACCAAGTTCTCATGATTCTGTCCTTCCATCAGTGAACGGTGTGGTGACGGATCAGCACACCCCGAGGAGACCTCTCTGCCTAGAGTCGTCTCATAGCAAGTCACATTTTGGCTCTCTAAAACTCACCCAGTGATAGAATGCCACCTAAGAAGTCTACTTCTTCTTTATATAGCAGCCTTCTAAATATTTAAGAAAGCTCAGGTATTCTCATCTCTCCTTTCTCCTTTCTTTTCCTACCAGTTAAGCATCCCTGATTTCTGCAGTTATTTCTAAGTAATATCAAGTAATAATATCAAAACACCCGCTTCAGGTATCTTTCAAGATTATACTTCTGATTTTCTTTTTGTTATTTATTCTTGCCTTCTGTCTTCTTTTAGGTTGTTTTATGTGCTTCCTTCTTCACCTTCAATTCCTTCTTAGTTTGTTCTGGATTGTCTCTGCTAGATTATGGTCTAAATAATCCATCTGAAGAGACCAGCAGTTGGCATAATGGCTGTCGCTGGACTCCCACGTAGTCAACCACGGTTTGAGTCCTGGACCCTGTGACTTAAACCCATGCCGGGCGCGTGTGCATGCGTGCCCAAGATCCCGAGAGGAGAATGGAGGAGAGGGGGTTGTGGCGTGGCCATCCCCCATGGGGGGTGATTTCTCACTTTCTGTCTCTCTGTCTTTCTGATGAGTGCATGTGCCCTATAGCAAAAACCTCTCCAAAAATAATAATAATCCATCTGGCACCGAGTTAATGAGTTGATTTTAGAAGTTCTGCCTTTAGTTTCTCAGTCATACCAGGCAGTTAAGTGACTGTCCTGATGGGTCCTCTGGCTTGCAGGCATCGAGCTAATTGCTGCGTTCTATGGCTGCCTATATGCGGGGTGCATCCCTGTGACCGTCCGACCTCCTCACGCCCAGAACCTTACTGCTACGTTGCCCACTGTCCGCATGATTGTTGATGTAAGTACCAACACTGTCTTCCTCAGTCCCATCCCATAAAATTCAGACCCGGACAACTGAAGATCCATACTGGTTTTCCAGGTTTGTTGAGTCAGGAAGTCAGTTTGTCTCCTGACCGCTACGTCCTTTCCCATAATCTGGCCAGAATGACCTCATTATTCAGTGAAGGAACTGTGGGACAGTGGTTGTTGGTGAGATACAGAATTGTATGTGGTTATTGTGAACACTTATAGAGGTGAAGGTGTCAGTAGTAATTCTTCATAAAATTTGTTTTTTCCTTCCCGATATTTTTCCTGCAACATAGCCAAGACGATTTCATATGCCAAACTGAATTCTCCCCAGTGTCAGGTCACTTTCATTTCAGTTAAGTTTCCTGAATTCGCTTGGTATAGCATTAAAAGCTATTGCAGATGTTGCTGGAGGTGATAGATGTTTTTATAGAATATGAGAACTAAAGAAGGTAAATCTCTATCACATCATATCCTAATGTACTTTAAAGCAAAGAGCAGTGTTGGCCAGTGTACTCACAGGCTACAAAATTCAGATTTGTGTAAAAGTTGTTTCTCTGAGAACTGCTGCTCTGTCAGCAACTTGAGCTACAGCATGAAAGCCATGTTCACCATAGATGATATTAATGCAAAGGTTAATTCAGCAAAATGCTCTTGTGATATTCTAAAAGCAGAATGAAAAAGCTGGGAAGGGATTTTTCTCTGTTGACAGAGACTGTGAGCAAAGTAGGTTACTTTGCATTTTCCTGTGTTTCTGTGGAAGCTTCTATCTGCTTCCATGTTCCTCAGATTCAGTGTATGTTCTAGGTCTGGTAAGTGTCACACTCGCTAGATGACTGCAAACACTGACTCCTTCACACATGGTTATCAGACTGGCTCTTCTTATTCTCTGAGCTCTGCAAAATCCACGTCTTTATTTTATTATGGCCTTCATGAAATCATGAGATTGCTGAATCCACACTGAGATCATAACTATGAAATGTTTGAAGATTGCTATTGTGCTGTGAACAAGTCTGCATTCTGAGAGGATTAAGTGGTACACATTTCCAGAGGGAAAAATGCAAGGGGAGAACAGAGATTCTTTCCATCCTGCGTGTGTTCTTTGAGACACTGATATGGCCCTGTCTAGTCTAGCGAAGTAGCTTTTAGCAGCAGCTGGAGCCCGTGGTGCTGCTGCGAGGCTAAGCCTCCTGGTGCTCACTGCCATCCTCTCGTCTTCTAGGTCAGCAAAGCAGCCTGTATTCTCACCACTCAGACGCTCATGCGGCTACTGAGGTCCCGCGAGGCGGCAGCAGCTGTAGACGTGAAAACCTGGCCGACCATCATTGACACAGGTGAGAGGCGATCTCTCCAGAGCTACCTGAGATCTCCTAGGTTCTCGTGTCAAACCTTTACACGGCTCTTACATCTCAACACATTCCACCTGCAAAAAGAGAGCACTTAATAGCCAGGCATCTTGTGCAACAAAAGGATGGACACTCCAATAATCAGATGTAAAGAAATAGATCACAGTATGCCAAGGGCTTTTTTAAAGAATTAGTTTATTTTAATCTTATTCATCAGCTTTTTTTTTTTTTTTTTAATTTGGCCACAGAGCAACAGAGAGAGAGAGAAAGCAAGAGAGCAAGTTGCCAAGTCCAGGACTCGAACCATTGTCGGCCATGTGGAAGTCCAGCACCTTAATCACTATGCCACTTACTGGCCCCAGCTTAGGGCTTTTTTTCTTTTTAATTTCTTAATTTTCTTTTTATTGCCAGAGGATGCATGTGCTTGCCAAAGAGAGAAAAAACACCCTCCAATGGAACGTGATCACCACAGTCCTTTTTCTTCCATTTCTTCATCCTATCAGGATATTGGGGCACACGTGCACATGCAACTGATGTGGTTTTCAAGCCACTGGACTGGGTCTTCAACCTGCAGTTGGGCATATAGGATTTGGTTCTCTATGCATAGAGCTTAACTGCTCAGCTACTGGCCCAGCCCTACCAAGAGCTTTAAACAAAAAAATCTTAGAATTATTCTTGTCATCATTGATAGTCATTTATGCTGGATGTGACCATGTACGAGTAGAATCATATAAAAGATTGAGATAATCCGAGCCTTGACTTGCAGAAGTGATGCAGTTGAAACAATGCTGGACTAGGAGTCAGAAGACCTGGATTCCAGTTTGAGCTTTCTTACTTAATGTCCATATAACTCTGAGTGAAATTACCCTTTTCTAAAATATCACCTACTCCCATGTGAGTCATAAATATTAGCTCAAAAGCAATATACTATGAAAATATTTTGAAAATCATAAAGTGCACACCTTTTTATTTTTTAGAGAGAGAAATTTGCTATAGGATGCCTATGGTTGCCATAGAGACAGAAAGAGACAGAGACAGGAAGAGAGAGCTCCCCCCTCAGGGAGATGGCCACAGTGCAGTCCCTTCTCCAATCTCCTTGGGATTTTGGGCACACATGCACATGTGCCCAGTGTGAGTTTTAAGCTACTAGGTCCAAGACTTGAACTATGGTTCACTACATTGGAGTCCAGTGATATAACCATTATGCCATCTGCTGGTGCCTGAAGTACACCAATTTTAAGAAGGAGGATAAGACATAGAGGTGACTGGGTAATTGGTGGGTGGTACTGGACTGACAGCTTTTGATTCAGGCAGATAGCTTTTTTTTTTTTAAGAATTACTTAATTTTATTCCTCATCATTATTATTTTAATTTGACCAGAGAGAAACAGAGAGAGAGAGAGAGAAAGAAAGTGAGAAAGCAAGCCACCAGGTCCGGGACTTGAACCACAGTCAGCCATGTGGGAATCTAGTACACTTAACCACCACTGACCCATGGCAGATGGGATTTAAATCCCGATATCCCTGCTACTCTCTGAATATCCTTGCCAACCTGGACAAAACTTTGTAAAATGAAAGTTGCAGTAACTACTTTGGTCTTGTAAAGATTAAATGATAAACTATAAAGCACCTAGCATGTAATATTAATGATAACACCTACCTGTATTGACCTTGTGACATGTTATTCATTTAATATGTGTTACTCAATTTTATCCTTACAACAGCTGTATTAGATAGGCGCTATTTTTATCCTTACTTCACAAATAAGAAAACTGAGGCACGGAGGCATTAAGTGACAGAACTAAAATTATGAGATTGCTGAATCTATACTGAGATCACACCCTGCTGGGACCAGCAGTTGACATGATGGCTATGTTGCTGGACTCCCATGTAGTCAACTGCAGTTCAAGTCCCAGAGCTGGTGGTTTAAACTCACACTGGCGCGTGAACGTGCCTGCCCAAGATCCTAAGAGGAGAATGGAGGAGAAGGGATTGTGGCCTGGCCATCCCCCGTGGGGGGTGATTTCTCACTTTCTGTCTCTCTGCCTCTCTCTTTCTGGTGACTGCACACACCCTATAGCAAAAGCCTCTCCCCTCCCCCCCCGAAAAAAGAAAGAAACCTTTTTTTTTACACCCTTCCAGTTTGACTTCATATGTAGCCTCTTAACCATTATCTCCACCTCCCACTTTTTATTTTTTTACTGAGTATCCTATACTGCCTACTTCAGCAACATTTATATGGATTTAAAAGCAAGGAGGGGGGCCAGTAAGTGGCATGATGGTTAAGACATTGGAATCCCACATGGCCTATTGTACAACTGGAGTCCTGGAGGTAGCAGCCTGAAAATCACACCAGGCCTGAGTGTGTGCATGCCCAAAATCCTGTGAGGAAAATGGAAGAGAAGGGATTGTGGCCTGACCATCTCCCCAGGAGGTGATTTTTCACTTTCTCTCCCTCTCTCCCCCCCCTTTCTGTTAAGTGCACATGACCTATAGCAAAATTTTTTTAAAGAATTAATTTTATTTATTCATTCATTTATTTTCAATTTGATCAAAGAGAGACACTGAGAGAAAGAGAGGGAAAGCAAAAAAGCAAGCCTCCAGGTTCAGGACTCAAACTGTGGTTGGCCTTGTGGGAGTGTCCAGCGCCTTAACCACTATGCTACCTGCTGGCCCCCAGCAAAAAAGAATTTTTTAATTGAAAAAATAAAAATAGGGACTAATAGATGGCCTGATGGTTATGTCACTGGATTCCCACATGACTGACTGTAGTTCGAGTCCCAGACCTGGTGACTTAAAACTCACACCAGGTGCATATGCGTGTGTGCCCAAAAGCCTGAGATGAAAATGGAGGAGAGGGGATCACAGCATGGCCATCCCCCTCCCCCCCATGGGTGATTTCTTGCTTTCTGTCTTTCTCTCTCTCTCTCCAGTGTGTGCACATGCCACATAACAAAAATCTCTCCAAAAAATAAATAAAAAGGGCTGACATATTTGTAATTATTGTGTGCCAGATGCTGTTAGGTTTTTAATATTTATTACTTAAGATGAGCAACAAAAACAAAACAAAGAGCACAATCATATATAATATACTATTGAAGATATATAGTATTTTAAATTTGTTTTCCATGTTTTCAGTTACCTGTGGTCAACCATGATCCAAAAACATTAAATGGGGTATTCCAGAATTAAAAAGTTTTTAAATCTCTGCCATTCTGAGTAGCATGATGAAATCTTGGGCCATTCTGCTTCAGCCCACCAGGGATGTGAATCATCCCTTTGTCCAGCACAGTTGTATATGCTGCTACCCATGAGTCACTCAGTAGTCAGTTCAGTTACCAGATCTTAACAAACTTAGTAAATATAGCGTTTGTACTGTCTGGTATTTCAGGCATCTGCCGGGGTCTTGTAACCCCACAGATAAGGGAGACTACTAAATAACATAAGCAGATTTATCTATGTGAATGATGCAAATCATAAGGGGCTCATCATATTTCAGGATGCCCTGAAACATGGGCAGACAGTAGGAAGGTTTCTTTAGGCACATGAACAGTCATGTGAGTGGCCCCACCCTACACAAAGGTAGATTAAAGCTGATAGATAGAGGAAGTCTTCCCTTATCAGAGATAGGTGTCCAATGATACAGAGATTTTTTTTTTTTTTTTTTGGAGAGGTTTTTGCTGTAGGGTGTGTGCACTCACCAGAAAGAGAGAAACAGAAACAGAAAGTGAGAAATCCCACCCCCCACCCACCCCCCGGAGGGATGGTCATTCCATAATCCCTTCTCCTCCATTCTCCTCTATGGATCTTGGGCACGCACGCACACACACCTGGCATGAGTTTTAAGCCACCAGATCCAGATTTGAACCACAGTCTACTATGTGAGAGTCCAGCAAAATTTCTACTACATCATATGCTGGCCCTTTCTCAGTTGTTTTAAAAGTGTTTTTTTTACTTTGAGAGATTTTTGCTATAGGGCGTGTGCGCTTGCCAGACAGACAGAGAGAGACAGAGAGATAGAAAGCGAGAAATCACCCCCCAGGGGGGATGGTCACGCCACAATCCCTTCTCCATTCTCCTCTCGGGATCTTGGGCACACACACACGTGCCCGGAGTGAGTTTTAAACCACCGGGTCCGGGACACGAACCGCGGTCGACTACATGGGAGTCCAGCGACATAGCCATTACGCTAACTGCTAGTCCCATAAAAGTACTTTTTATGTAAACATCCCAACTATTTTATACAGGAAGGTATATTTTAGAGATCCATTTTAGAGGAAAGAGAAAGAGTGGAATAACCCCAAGGTTGTGGAACTGGCAGACGAGTGTTGGGCCGTGCACACCAGCATCCTGCTTTCTTCTGTGCTATCCTTCCTGAACTTCAGTGAGCAAATTCATCTGCTTATGTTGTCTGGTGGTGTCCTCAGCACCCTCCAGGAGTCATACATGAGCTGCTTGGTTAAATAGTACCAGAAGCCTAAGCATTAGCAAATCCTAGAAGCTAGATCTGGCCATAGTGAGAGCACAGAAAACCAGATGAAGAGCAACGATTTTCATATTTTGGCACGTCAATTGACATTGGAGGATTTCTTTTTCATTGTAGATGATTTACCCAGGAAAAGGTTACCCCAGCTGTATAAACCACCCACTCCTGAGATGTTGGCATATCTTGACTTCAGCGTCTCCACAACTGGCATGCTTACAGGAGTGAAGGTAAAGGCATCTGGATATATTCACTCACTCACTGAATCCTGGCAGAATGCCAGGTCTGCAAAAAATAGAAATGACCACTGTCCTAGGGACTTTAGATGTAGAGGCCAAGTGGTTGTACCAGAGACCAGTAGGCGGAGGATCAAGGGTCCCTACTATATTTAAATAAAAGCACTGGCTCTTCCGGAGTAAGTTATCCCAAGGAATTTATATTTTGAAGTGTCTGAACCTAGCATGACACCAGCAGATAATAAGAGCCTCTAGTTAACGTCAGTGTGGACTCATAAGTTCACAATAGTATAAAATTTAGGATTAATGAACAGAAATGCATTAACTTAGTTTAGACTTAGATGACGCTTTGAAACAATTAAAAATATACTTAACTTTGCAGAGTTCAGGGAATCAAAACTTCTCAAAGCTGTTGTTAGAGCTGTTTCTCTGCCTGAAAGATGACAGCTCCACCCTGTTCCATGTTCCTTGCTTTGCAGATGTCCCACTCTGCAGTAAATGCTCTTTGCAGAGCCATCAAGCTCCAGTGTGAGTTGTACTCTTCTCGGCAGATCGCCATCTGCCTTGACCCTTACTGCGGACTTGGCTTTGCACTCTGGTGTCTCTGCAGGTAGGGACGGGAAAGCCAACGAAACAGAATGTGTGGGAATAAATGCTTTTGGACTGTTACCGTCTCATCCTTCCTTTAGCTCCCTGACTTGGTAAAGTTTCAGTAAAATGTTGATGTTTCCAGAGTTTAAGCACCTTGTGTACTGCTGTTTCTTAGTTTTGTCTGTATTCCCTTTTTTCCTTTCTGTTAGTTTCAGGCCTCATACAAAAGGGCAGTGACCCTTTTACCTACTCTCTGCTCCATCCTGTAGTCCTTGTTTTCAAAGCAGAGCCAAGTAGAAGGATGACACTAGAATGAAATATGCCACGCTTTAATAGCCAGAACATACCCCCTAGGCTTGGCAGGAAGGACCATAAAGGGGAGGGATGACTGTGTGCACATGGGAAGTCGCATGGTCGCCCTGGCCCAGTTGCTTCTTGTAGAGTAGCACATCCTCACTCCTTCCATCCTCTGCCCAGGAATCTCATGTTAGGCCTGCATCTTGTCCTTTGTGGTAGACATCATGAATGCATCACAAATGCCTGCCTGCACCGCAGCATCCTCCTCCTGTGTCTCATCTTTGTTAAGGTGGGATCATCCACCTATGGGCCCAGACTAGAAACATGGTCATTGTCTTCATCATTATCTTCAACTTGTATGTCTTTATGTCTCACCTCTAATTCACTTTCACGTCATTTGGCTTCGTTGCTCCTATACCTGTCTGCACATAAGAATCATGTAGGGGTCTTTCAAAAAATAAAACAAATTAAAGGGACCAGCAGATGGCATAATGGTCATATTGCTGGACTCCTACATAGTCGACCGCAGTTCAAGTCCCGGACCCGGTAGCTTAAAATTCAAGCCTGGTGTGTGTACATATGTGCCCAAAATCCTGAGAGAAGAATGGAGGAAAAGAGAGTGCGATGTGACCAGCCCCCTGAGGGTGATTTCTCACTTTTTGTCTCTCTCTATCTCTCTCTGGGGAGCACACATGCCCTATAGCAAAAATCTCTCTCTAAAAAAAGAAATAACAGCAGTCCTCATACTTATTGATTTAGATCTGCAAAGGCGGAGACCACAACACCAAGAGTTTTTAAATACCGGACTCCTGGGCTCCTAGTGACTTAGAAGTTTAGGCCTAAAGGCTGCAGACTGTCCATATGACATGTGACTGCCGTTTCTTCCTTCCTTCTTGGCTGCAATGTTGCGGATTTAAGCCCTCATCAACTCTGACCTGAACAGTTGCAGCCTCTCAGCCTTTAGTCACTTGGGTCTCCAACCCTTTCTCCATTTTGTTAGCTTTGCCTCAACTTACAGCTGCCTGCTGGGACAGGCCCAACTCCTTCATACAACAGCTAGCCCTTTCACAGTCTGGTCCCAGCCCCGCTGGCCTCACTCCTCCATGCACTCCGTGTCATACAACTTGACTTGGACACTCTCTCTGATGGCCTTAAATACACTGAACTTCACTCACCATTGTCCCCACTTCTTCCAGCCACTGTCAAGTTCCTACACATGGTTTGAGCCCCAGCTCAAGTGTCGCCTACTCCATGAAATGCTGCCATCCCTACCCCGGCTTTCCCAGCTTGAATGAATTACTCTTTATTCTGCCCTCTCAATGTCCTGTATTCACATCTTAGCCACTGCCCCACCACAGTCTGCTTTATTTTATACTTACTGTGCCTTGCGATTTGCATAGGAACAAGCCTTTACATCTAATATAATCCTACACCACCCTTTGCACTCAGTAAATACCGGTGGGTTGCTGGTGTTCTGAAGCATCAAGGAGTCTAGAGTGAGGTGATGATATCAGCTCTTGCTTCTCATTGCAGCGTCTACTCGGGTCACCAGTCCATCTTAATTCCTCCTATGGAGTTAGAAAACAACCTTTTCCTCTGGCTTGCCACTGTCAACCAGTACAAAGTAAGGGATACTTTCTGCTCCTATTCAGTGATGGAGCTCTGCACTAAAGGGCTTGGAAACCAAGTGGAGGTGCTGAAGGTAAGATGGAGCTACAAGTAGCCAGTCAGGCCACGGGGTTGAAAGGGCCAGAGTCGGAGATAACAGGCGGTTTGCCTGCTTCTGTCTAGTCAGTCAGCTAAATGATGGAAAGAGAGATGGAACAAATTTTCCATTGGGTACAAATCCTTTTAAGTTTATTCCATGAGCCAGAGAAAGAAGAGAACACTCCAGGGTCTTGATGCCACAGTCCACCCCCAGCTTCGGCTAGCCCAGATCACAGGCATGTCCCAGCCTGGCATAGTCACGGAGGCCTCTGGATGTGAACGCCTAACTTCCCCACGTGGTTCAGCCTTGTGCAGCTTTGCATTATACTGTGCCACACCTGGCCCCCCACGGGTAATGGCTGTAAGGAATACCCTAGCATTTGCTTTTCTAAAGGTTTTCTCTGTTTTTGGAAGTGGGAATACACAGTTCCTTGGGTTTCCTGACCAAAGAGGAGCAGTGGTCCTGCTGGTTCAGTCTTTCAGACGCTGCTAACTCCGCTCACTCGCCTGCTGTCTTTACAGACGAGAGGGATCAACCTCTCCTGCATCCGGACGTGTGTGGTGGTGGCGGAGGAGCGGCCCCGCATTGCCCTGCAGCAGTCCTTCTCCAAGCTCTTCAAAGACATCGGCCTGTCTCCTCGGGCCGTCAGCACCACTTTTGGATCAAGAGTCAATGTAGCAATATGTTTACAGGTGACCGACATGAAACTTTATCCCAACAAATGGAAGAATATGGCTACCCCAGAGCAGAGGCTTTGACGCCAGGCCACTGGGCTTGAGTCCCAGCTCCTCTTACTTGCTAAGGCCTCTTATCTTCACTAGTATGCCTCATTTTGCTCATCTAAATGAAGATAATAGTGTCATACCTCATAGGGTCGTTCTGTGGAATCACTGAGATACTAGGTCCGAGCACTGAGAACAGAGCTGGCACCAGTGTCTGTTCTTAGGAGGAGGAATATGTTCCAGGATGAGGAATCAAGATTTCTGAGACCTCGCTGAATTTCATTTATATCTGACATGTTTTTCTGTCTCCTCCATAGTTTACACCATTTTTTTCTAATCAGCAGAGGGCATAGAGAGGGGGAAAGGGAGAAAGCAGCTCCCAGTGAGGAGTGGTCATATCCCAGTCCTTTCTCCCCCATCTCTCCCTCCTGTCGGGATTGTGGGCATGTATACACAAATACCCAGCATGTTTTTTAAGCCACAAGGTAGAATTCAAACCATAGTTGACCAAATAGGATCCCACTTAACTACTAGGCTATAGGGCCAGCCTTTACACCTTTTATTCTATTTGCAAATAAAGCACAGATATATTTTCTTCTCCAGCCAGACAGCAACTTTGCCGTATTTTTCTTAGTGGATAAATAGTAGAAAAGGGGCCAGAACTGAGCCTAACTTTATGTAGCTTGAAGGCTAATAAGGTGAATACAGGCGTGGACATGACTGACAGTGGAAGGCGCTAGTACACAGGTGGCTACCAGATCTTCTGTGACCATGACTTCCAAAAAGTGTCACGATGCTCTAACCTTAGGCCATCATGGCCTCTTGTTGTCAGCCAGGGCTGATGTTGGTTTTGAAAATCCCTGAGGTGATGACTTGTCCCTTCCCTGATGGCCCCAGGCTGGAAGCATCCTTGGCTGGTTCTGTCGCAGTGCAGCTATGGCCCCTGCAGTCTGAGGGAGTTCAGAAGCTGACTCACAAAGAGGAAAGGGGAAGAACACCAGAATAGCCTTGGCCAGGAGTCTCTTCCAGGTGTTGAGCTTTCAAAATAGTTTGGATATTTCATGTATGTGGTCAAACGTTCTTGATTTGAAAATGTGACCTATGGAAATACAGTCCCTTTTGTTTTAACATTTATTTATTCTTCAGGGAACCTCAGGGCCTGATCCAACTACTGTATACGTAGATCTGAAGTCATTAAGACATGACAGGTACAGTTGACTTCTTACACTCACTTCCTACTAGAGTGCCTAAGCCTGAGAAGTTCCAAACCGCAAAGTCAGCACTTTCCCTCATTCTTTCTATAGTTTGCACTTCCAGAAGGGGTATAGAAAGAGGAAAGGAATTCATATTTATTATTAATACTTGATAAAATTAGCATTTTATTTATTTATTTATTTATTTATTTATTTTATTTAACTGAGAAAGCTTCAGTTCTCACAGTTGCTGCCCTGTTCTTCAATACTGAAGTGTAATACTTAGTTCCAGCCTGTGTATAGATGTTTTGTGATATCTGATAAATGAAACTAAAATGGGTAGTCTCTTTCCTCTGAGAGTTTAAAAATAAACAAGATAGGACAGACAAGATAAATGGGGATAGACAAGATAAATAAGGCAGAGTAGGGTTTTCAAAAAAACACATTATCTGAAACCCATGGGTTGCCTGCATGCCTGCCCCCTCTTCCCCAGCTTAGGAAATTCTGGCTCTGTCCCAGGGTGAGGACTGGCCGAGACACTGAGCCAGTTCCAGGGCCCTGCTGACTTGCACATGTTCCCGGTGGGCCCACGGCACTGGCCCAGCCAGCATAGGCAGGGCATCTCTCTGCGTGTCTGCAACCTGAAGCGATTTTGCCCACCAAATGACATTTGATGATGTCTGGAGACATTTGTGGTTGTCATAACAGAGGGGTACTACTGACCCCTAGTGGGGAAAGGCCAGGCATGGCACTAAGCACCCTACGTTGCTTAGGCTTAGCCCCTCTCAGCAGAAAGTGATCCGACTTGTCAGTGTTCTGAGTTTGAGAAACTGCTTTACTGGGAGAAGTACAGACAAATTGGAGGCCTTGGGAAGGCGGGTATCCAGCTGCAGTAGATGTGGCAGTCCATTTCTGAGAAGGCGCATATATACGACATATTGTTCCTTTTGCAGGGTTCGTCTTGTGGAACGGGGTGCCCCCCAGAGTTTGCTCCTCTCCGAGTCTGGAAAGGTAATTTCTTCTGTTATCTGTTGGAAAGTGGGCTGTGTGGAGAAAGGATTCCATTTAAAGAAAGCTGAACCCACGTAATGTGTTAGTAACCGAGGCAAGACTTCATTTAAACCTAGAAATGATTACAATTTCCGCTTAGCTGATACTTTTGAATTCATGTGGTATACAGATAAGCATACTAGATCTGAACTGCTTAAATTTCCATAGATTTTAAAAAGTCCAACTGATAAACCAGCAAACTGCAGTGCTTATAACATATAAGGGAGATAGATGAGCAGCGCTTAAAAAGAACCAGTTCTGGCTTTATAGCTGTTTCTAGGAGAAAACTAGGGGTGTCAGATAGGAGAGAGTGGGGTAAGATCAGAGAAGACTACACGTATTTGAAGTTGAAAGAAAACAAAATGAAAAGAAATGAAAGATACTCAGTTAAAATCCGTGGGGGTGAGATTACTTAGGTTAGGATGGGCTTTACAGTTTCAAAGGAGATTTAGTTCTGTGCAGTTTACTGAGCAGGGTAGAACATCCACGTGCACTGTCCAGATAGGTGGCAGCTTCTCATTCCTTCGACAAGAGAGTGATGAGACTTGAGAATGCCTTCTAATAATTCTGCTAAACAGAGAAAATTGGGAGAGAACAAAAAAGGGATCCTGCTAGGCCTATCCGATCCATCGACCCGTGGGGTGCTTACTCCAGCCTCCCTGCTGTTCGAACTCTTCACAGTGGGGCTGGGTCAGTGTTGTACTGTCTTGTGGATTTTCCACGCCTCAGTGGGAAGTCAGGTGCGCCCCAGGGATGTCACGCAGTGCCCTGCTCTACCTGAGCCAGCTCAGAGGGGCTAGTCTCTTCTTTTTCTTCCCTGAGGCTTTTGATGTTTGAGCTCAGATAGTCATTGCAGAGCTCTCGAGTAACCATACTTTAGAGACCCAAAATAAAAAGGAAGGTGTCAGAAGGCAGAATCTAGGTTATCAGAGCAATCTGAGGCATTCTCTCAGCCAGTTCCTGTTATCCAGGGCACATAGTGTCTGTCATGATCCCAGAGACACATTCTCCTGTAGAGCCGTCCCACCCTCTCAGCGGAAAACCCTGTAGCTTTAGCACTAAAGACTGCAGTGGGGACTCCTGAGCTGGCTGTCCCTCCGTGCTGCTCTTTCTGTTTTGAGGCATTTTACCACTGTTACTCCAGTAAATGCGATAGATCATGCAAGAAGGAAGGAATGTGGCTAAGCGGGTCTGCAAATTCATGCTGTTGTGGTCTTGGTGTGCCTTTTGAAGAGGAATGTTCACCATTGTATTTCTTACTAATTTTTATATGTTATCATTGGCACGAGAGAGAGAGAAAGGCACGCTCAGTGACCTCACCATGCCACAGTTACCCCTCTGCAGCCCTCCAGCCCCATAGGCCCCTGGGTGCCTACACACACCTGGTGTGTTCCAGGCTGACCCAGGTATCTAAACCTGTGGTCGCCACAAGGCTTCCCACCTTACAGAGCGCCCGTGTTCCTGCTTTGCCATAGCAGCTGCATGGGCCACTGTTTTATTTTTGAGACTGAGTCTTAGTACACATCTGGTCTCCACGGAACTGAGGATGATTCGGTGAGAGTAAACAAGGCACCTCTAGCTGTCCTCTCAGGGTGGTCTGGTCATGGCCATTTCTAGTAGCTCCTGCGCTTTGTGCCACTCTCACTTCTCCAGCAGGAAACCACACATTTCCTAGAGGTCATTAGATTTCATCAAATTACCAACTTTTGTATCTCCCTTTGATTATTAGATTTTACCTGGAGTGAAAGTGGTTATCGTGAATCCTGAGACCAAAGGGCCTGTGGGAGACTCTCACCTTGGAGAGGTACGTTGTAATTTTCATTTTTACCCTGAGAAGTCAACAGTAAGACTGCGAGGCTCATGTACTGCGCGTGTGTGAAGGGTCGGCCTTCCTCCACTGTGAATAGAGTTCATCATTTTCTATAAGGCGCAAGACTGAAGTGGATAGATTGTGACTGGGAGCAGGAGAGGACAGAGAAACCCAAATTGGAAATTGTCCCAGAGGTGTCCACTGATAGCGCTTAGGTTGGGGAGGAAAGTGGGCAAATCCCACCTGTTCCCATCTGTTAAGGGGTAGAGCTGAAAGGAGCCGTATGTATACATTTGTTGTTCTGATTTTTTTTTAAAGAATTATTTATTAATTTATTTTTTAATTTGACAAGAGAGAGATAAGGAGAGGGTAAATGAGAAAGCAAGCCACCAGGTTTGGGACTCAAACCATGGTTGGCCATGTGGGAATGTCCAGCGCCTTAACCACCACGCCACCTGCTGGTTCCTTTTTTTTTTTTTTTAACTATAGGGCATGTGTGCTCATCAGTGAGAGAGTGGAATGGGAGTGAAAAATCACCCCTCCCCAGGGAGGTAGCCACACAGCAAGCCCTTCTCCAGTCTCCTCTTGGGATTTTGGGCATGCAAGCACATTGGTCTAGCATGATTTTCACGCTGCCAGGTCCAGGACTCGAACCACACAACTGGCTATGTGGGATCCAGCACCTCAACCTCCATGCTACCTGCTAGCCCTGACCACATGTAGAAGTGATTAAAACTCATGCAAATGTGAGGGAACCAGCAGTTAGCGTAATGGCTATGTCGCTGGACTCCCACGTAGTCGACCGCGGTTCGAGTCCCGGACCCGGTGGCTTAAATCTCACGCCGGGCGCGTGTGCGTGTGTGCCCAAGATCCCGAGAGGAGAATGGAGGAGAAGGGATTGCAGCGTGACCATCCCCCCTGGGGGGTGATTTCTCACTTTCTGTCTCTATGTCTCTGTCTGTCTGGCGAGCGCACGCGCCCTATAGTGAAAACCTCTCCAAAAAAAAAAAAAAAAAACTCATGCAAATGTGATACTCCAAAATGTATCCATTTGGTATTTGTATAAAAACACCCTAATGGACTTAAGGTTTCCCTCCATAAATCTTGGAGGGGTACTGATGTGGCTCATGCGCAGCCAAGTGGACGAGCATTGTCAGTGCAGAAGCTGCTGGGCTGGGCTGTTGCCTGCTGCCAGCTTCTCAGAAGTGGACAAGCTATTTATTGCACCTCTCTGGCCTCAGTTTCCCTGTCCATAAATAAAGAGAGCACCTACCTCACATGCCAGATCTTGTTGTGACAGTTACTTGCATTAGCACCTGCTTCTGTCATACTCATGGAACAGTGTCTCTCTCATCAAGAGTTCTCAGGGCCAGCAGGTGGCATAATGGTTAAGGCGCTAGACTCCCACATGACAGACCACAGTCTGAGTCCCAGACCTGGTGGCTTGCTCTCTCTCTTGTTCTCTCACTCTCTCTGGTGAGCACACATGCCCTATAAGCAAATTTAAAAAATAATAATAATAAATAAATGAATAATTTATTTTAAAAAGTTCTCAGTAGTACTACCCACCATTATTGTTGTTAAGTATTATTCTTTTGTTAAACTTAAAGGGTTTTTTTAAGCTTTTTTTTTTTTTTTTTTTTTTTTGGAGTGGTTTTGCTATGGGGCACACGCGCTCACCAGAAAGATAGAGACAGAAAGCAAGAAATCACCCCCCAGGGGGAATGACCACGCCACAATCCCTTCTCCTCCATTCTCCTCTCGGGATCTTGGGCACATACGCACATGTGCCTGGCGTGAGTTTAAGCCACCTTATCCAGAACTCGAACTGTGGTCGGCTACATGGGAGTTCAGCGACATAGCCACCACGCTAACTGCTGGTCCCAAAGAGAGCTTTTTGTATAGATCATGTGTACTCACTGGAGACACAGAAACAGAGAGAGAGAAGTGAGAAATTACCCTCTGGTGGCATGGCCATGCCACAATCCTTTCTCCTCTATTCTCTCACTCTGAGCACTCACACACACACACACACCCAGTGTGAGTTTCAAGCCACTGGCCTGGGACTCGAACTGTGGTCTGCCATGTGGGATCCAGCACTTTAACCACTACACCACCTGCTGGTCCCCCCAAGGGGCTTTATACCAGCTACACCTAAAGCACAAACTATTCCTTGATGAATATGTGGGACCCAGGCTAAGAAGACAATGGTTAAGAATGATGCCTGGGGCTAGCAGATGGCATAGTGGTTACGTCGCTGGATTCCTACATGGTCGACTGTAGTCCAAGTCCGGAATACAGTGGCTTGAAACTCAGGCCAGCTGCATGCGCATGTGTGTCCAAGATCCCAGAAAGAGAACAGAGAACAGATTATGTGGCTTTCCCTCCTGGGGGGTGATTTCTCACTTTCGCTCTTACTGTGTCTGTCTCTCTCTCACTCTCTGCTGAGCACACACACCCTAAAAGACAAAAACCTCTACAAAAAACACAAGGCCGCTGCGGGCCCACAGCTGACATAATGGTTAAGGTGCTGGACTTCCACATGGTCAGCTGGGTTTGAGGCCTGGACCTGGCAGTTAGAAAATCATGCCAGGTGTGTGTACATGCATGCCCAAAGTCCCAACAGGAGAATGGAGGAGAAGGAACTGAGGTGTGGCCATCCTTCTGAGGGATTATTTCTCGCTTTCTCTTTGTCTCTCCAACAAGTGCATGCACCCAATAGTACATTTCTCTCTAACAAAACAAAACAAAACAAAAAGGCCCTTGGCACACACAAGCTTAGGTGTGAGTCTCCTAGCTTCTGCATCTTGGGAGATTTATACAACTCCTATTATTTCATCTGAAAATGGAATTAGTAATAATGTAAACTATATTGTCATGTCATGTATGTTGACACTGACAGAGATTGGGCACATAAAATATTTACCTCGGGGACCAGCAGTTAGCGTAATGGCTATGTCGCTGGAATCCCATGTAGTTGACTGCGGTTTGCATCCTGGACCCAATGGCTTAAACCTCACACCGGGCGCGTGTGCGTGCGTGCCCAAGATCTCGAGAGGAGAATGGAGGAGAAGGGATTGCGGCGTGGCCATCCCCCCTGGGGGGGGATTTCTCACTTTCTGTCTCTCTGTCTCTGTCTTTCTGGCAAGTGCACATGCCCTATAGCAAAAATCTCTAAAAAAAAAAAAAAAAAATTGACCTCATTGCCCAGCACATATTAAACACTAAGTGACAGCTGCCTCAATTTATTGTTGCAGTTGTATTGTTGTCATTATTCATATAAAAATAAGATTCAAAAACTGGGCCAGCCAGTGATGCATGGTGGTTAAGACAACTGAATCCCACATGGCCACCTGCACCATTCAAGTTCTGGAAAAGCATGCTGGGTGTATGTGTGTGCATGTCCCAAATCCTGAAAGTAGAAGAGATCGCAGCATGGCCATCCCCCACGGGGGGTGCTTCCTCTCTTTTTCTCTCTCCCTCTCCTTTTCCTTAGCATACATGCCCTATAGCAAAATCAAAAAAGACATAAAATAGGGTAAAACAAACAAACAAAATAGCCAGGATGGCCATTGGCAATATAGTTAAGGCTGCTGGATTCTGCATGGCCAACTGTGCAGTTCGAGTCCCTGACCCAGGAGCTTTAGAGACATGCTGGGCATGTGCCCAGAATCTCAAAAGGAGGGAGAAATGGAAAAGGGATTGTGGTGTAACCATTCTCCGTTGGGGGGAGGGGTGCGTTCTCACTTTCTCTTTCTCATTCTCTCCAACGAGTGCACATACCCTCTGGCAAATTTAAAAAAAAAAAAGGATAATCATAATCTTTCCCAAGAGAATTGATATGGGTTGTACATTTCTGGCAAAATGTGAACAGTGCCCTTTTCTTGTAGATTTGGGTGAACAGTCCTCACACAGCCAGTGGCTACTACACCATCTATGACAGCGAGACTCTTCAAGCTGATCACTTCAACACTCGCCTCAGCTTTGGAGATGCTGCTCAGACACTCTGGGCCCGGACAGGATACCTTGGTTTTGTCCGCCGGACTGAGCTCACCGCGGCCACTGGAGGTATCCTCCCACGGGTCCTTCCCGTGCGTCCTGCTGTGCTCCTGCAGCAGGGGCTGGCTGCCTCAGCCTGCCTTTGGATTGCAGAGCGTGTTTCTATGATCGTCTCTCTCTGTCTCTTGAACCCATAAGTGAATTATATTCATTCGAATTGATACTTTGCCCTCTGAAGGGTATCTAGGAGGTCGGTGCCACCACATGACCACCCCAAACTGTGGTTTAGAACGCCCAGCGGTCACAGAAATGTGCCTGATGATGGGTCGGTACCCCTGGCAGGGCACAGACCTTCAGCCCCTGAGGGATGATTCCAAATCCTGAGCAAGCCCCTGGGACAGGAAGTACATCTCTCAGCTCCACTATCTCCACATGCTGTTTTGGGAGCAGGAGGAACACTCTTCAGAGGGCGGAGTCCCTTCTGAGGTGCTGTTTTGATGAAGTAATCTAGTCCCTTAGGGTTCCTCATTGGGTACAAGCCTGCTTTTTGGCAAGGCTCTGGCATAAGGATTCCCTCCAGCCACTCTATGGCCCATTGATCATCACAGCTTCACTGCTGTGGTTTTCGGCCTTTCTGACTGCCATTAGTAGCCATTTTAAAACCTTAGGGTCAGTCTGTGGCATAGTGGTTAAGGCAGCTGGATCCTACATGGCTGACTGTGGAGTTTGAGTCCCGAACCTGGCAGATTGAAAAGTGCTCTGGGTGCATGTGTATGCATGCCCAAAATCCCCAGAAAAGAATGGAAGAGAAGGGAGATTCCAGTGTGGCCATCCACCGGGGGGAGTTGGGGGGCACTTTCTCTCTCTCTCTCTCTCTCTCTCTCTCTCAACAAACACAAAACCCACACTAACTGTATTAGGCACTTGAAGAATTGATACAGATAACTCTCTGGACTTTACAGACCTAAACTGGGCCATGCCATTTCTCCTTAGTTCCTCACATCTGTTCCTTACTCATCAGTGTCCATAGTTGCCCCATTTTTCAGGGGAAGGCAGGGATCACACCAGGCAAGAGGGTGACACCCCTCACCAGATCCCCTGGTTTGTAGCCTACCTCTGTCACTTGCTGTGTGACCGTGAACAATCACTTAACTCTGTTTCTTACCAGAAAACCACAATGGCAGTGACTGTTTCCTCCCTCATGGAAACGTGAGGTTACATGTCATAATCGGGTTAGATGCCTAGAACAGTGCCCGGCACAGAGAAAGCACTCATTTCATCGCTAACAGCTGTGTTTCTGGTGTTTTTGTTGTTACCAGTCTTAATGAGCCCTTCCTGGGTAGCAACCTCTGCTGGACTTCTGATCTCTTCTCTCCATCAGCTTCTCTCCATCACTTTGTTATGCTAAATTTTTCAGAAATCTACCTTTTCCAAAAGATACTGTAACATGCTCTCTCTTCTGTGTCCTAGCCAGATTACAAACCTGTTAATAACCACGACAAGTCTCTGCATTCTCTAATCCTACTCCTAATATCTGGATTCTGTGAAGAGATCCAGAAACAACATTTTCATTTTCTCTGTCTCAAATTTATTTCCTTCCTCCTCCCCGCCCCCAATCATCATCCTCTGGTTAATTGCTACTTACCCTTCAACGCTCAGCCCTGGTTTCAGCTTTTCTAAAGGCCTTCCTTGAACTCTTGTCTGGGCCCAGTGAGTGTTCCCCATCCCCCTGCACCTCACACACACTCCTGTCGCCGGGCTTAGCACTTAATACAGTGTACATATTTAACATATATTTACTACCTTGTGTGGATTAGCTCACTTAATCCTCACAGCAGGTTCCTTACTATCTCAGTCTCATGGGGGAGCAGCAGGACTCAGAGCCCTAAGGAACTTGCCCAGAGTTACACAGCTGGGAAGGGGTGGAGCCAGGTGACAGGCAGTCTTTACCATCGTGTCACACTCAGTATGTGTGTCGACTCCTTTTCCATCAGAGCGTCATGATGCATTATATGTGGTGGGAGCTCTGGATGAAACGCTGGAGCTGAGAGGATTGCGCTATCACCCGACTGACATTGAGACCTCAGTGTCTCGGATCCACCGGAGCATTGCTGAATGGTAAATTCCCTAGCACAGACCGTGTTTCCCACCTCAGCTGTCGTCATCATGAAAGCTGATCTAATCCGTCAAACACAGAACATAGAACACAGACATAGAACTCCTGGGGGAGGAAGGACATAAACTGACTGATTCTTGGGCGTGCAGTCAGCCGTAGCCAGGTAGGGTAGTCACAGGAGCCAGACAGGGCTACAGAGACACTGTGGAGCACTGGCATTCAGTGATGGACTCATAACAGGAAGGGGGACTAGCAGGTCGTCTGCCTCTAAGAAGTCAGTGTAGTATGGTGGAAAGAACCATGACTTTAAAGTTAAAAGACCTGGCTTAAAAGCTCAGCTCTGAGGGTCAGCAGGTAGTGTAGTTTTAAAGTCATGGACTCCTACATGGTTAACTACAGTTCAAATCCCAAACCTAGCAGCTTGAAAATCACACCAGGCACAAGTGTGTGCATGCCTAAAATCCAGAGAGAAGACTGGAAAAGAAAGGACTGTGTTGTGGCCACCTCCAGGGGGTGATTTCTCACTTTCCTTCTCTCTACCTCTGTCTCTCTCCAGCTACTGCACATGTCCGATGGCAAAAACCTTTAAAAAAAAAAAATAAAAACCTCAGCTCTCCCCGGGCCAGCAGGTGGCATGGAAGTTAAGGTGACTGGATCCACATGGCCAACTGTGCAGTCCAAGGCCCAGTCCTGGTAGCTTGAAAATCACACCGGGTACATATGAGTATGTGCCTAAAACTCTGAGAGGAAAATGGAAGGGAAGGGACTGTGGTGTAGCCATCCCCCCCATGGAGTGATTTCTCACCTTCCCTCTCTCTATCTCTCGCCAATGAGCACAGGTGCCATATGGCAAACCTAAGAGGAAAAAAACAAACAAGAATATTACCATAGTCAAAACTCTTATGTTGTAAATAACACAAATTCTCCTCAAAAAAAAGTTTAAGTGAGAGACAGAATTTCTCTTTGTTTCACTGCACTCCCACCGATCGCGGAACTTTCAGCTCTACATGTCCTTAGTTCAGGTGACCAGCTAACAACTTTCAGTCCCACTTCCAAATTCCCAGAGGGCTCCAGGTGGCTTAGCTAATCAGCTGTGATCCCTGGAGCAAGGTTATTTAGTACACACATGCCTGCTGATCTTTTGGGATCCGGAGAAAAGGCATTTCTCAGGGAAATGGGCATAATTCTTGGGCAGACATTGAATGCGCTGACATGTTAACTGACTGCCGTTGAAATTTCAGTGCCGTGTTCACGTGGACCAACTTGCTCGTGGTGGTTGTGGAACTATGTGGCTCTGAACAGGAGGCCCTAGACTTGGTTCCTCTAGTGACCAATGTGGTCCTGGAAGAGCATTACCTCATCGTTGGCGTTGTGGTTGTGGTGGACCCTGGTGTCATCCCAATCAACTCCAGAGGAGAGAAGCAGAGGATGCACCTACGTGACAGTTTCCTAGCTGACCAGCTAGACCCCATCTATGTGGCTTACAACATGTAGCCAGCCTTTGGGGATTGACGGGCCATCCTGAAGAACCATACAGTGAAGAAGACCCGTGGCTAGGAGCAAGTTTTCAAATGATGTGAAATAAATTGAGATGGCTACATTACATCCTTCATCTCATCCTGCGGGATTCTGCAACATGCAGCAGAGGAAAGGGGACTGCTGTGGTGGTGAACGAAAAAAATGTTCACAGCCTCTGAGATACGAGCTTTGGCGTAGCCGGAGCTGCACGTTCCTGAAGGAATTACATGCATGTTGCATTTTTTTCATCTGTTGTACATACTTGTATTTTTATCTAATGCCATTTTAGAATTTTATAAGGGAGTTTAATGAATTCATATGAAAGGGGGTAGTCTGAGTTACAGTTCCCCGCTCTGTACTGTATTTTGCCATTTTACTGTAGCTAGATGTCCTGCGGGTTTTGTTAACACGGAACTACTTGGCTTACTTTCATTCAACCCATGCGACTCAGATAACCCACTGAATACGAGAATTACTTTATATACAGAATTCTTGACTGTAAAACATTTGACCAGTGTTTTAAACATGTAAATAGGACTACACATAATTCAACTAAAGAATTGAAGAATTGGCTTGTATGATTATAATAACCAAAGTAGAAATATTTCTACTTTGAGGGGATTTCAATATTCTCTTAATGTAGTGTAATTGATTAGGTAACTAAAACATGCAAATTGTTCGCAGATTTTGCTGCACATCGTTCTATGTCTTTGTTGGCTGGTGTATTTTATAAACTAAAGCTGCCTATGTTTGTTTTTAAAGCTTGCATTCCCAGAATCAGCTTAAGCGTCTAAGAATTCAGCTTGTTTCTATAAGCTGAAAATCTCAGTTTAAAAATCAAATTGTTAAGAAAAAGCTAAGATTCATTAGATCCCACCCTATTCTAAGGAACTCACTCTTGCCCCAGTGTTGAAACTTATCTTTCAAATTTAGGGTGACTACATAAGAATTTAGAATTTCCTCTTTTTCCAGACCCATTGTAAACTGTGTCTACAGTTTAAACATAGACCTTCTGCTTTTTTGAAAACTGAAGAGTGTCCTCTGTTCTTCCAGTTTGTGAGGGCAGGGAGTTTAAAAACAAGAATGATAAGCTGGGAAGGCAGTGGGATCAACCATCGCATGAAACTTTAAGACCACATAACTACACAGCTCAAAACTGACCACTTTGGGTTGCCAAAATAGTCAGGCTTATGCTGAAACAGGGGAAGTCGGATGTATGCAAGAAACTCTTTTGAAATAACTCTGGTGCCCAACAGGCCAAGCAGACTGAGTATGGGATCGAGTTTGGCTTCTGGCTCGGTTTCCTTTCTTTGGTCTGATACTTCATGTATTTGAATATAGTTGAATTTTATTATTTTTTTCTTACAGAAATATTTTTAAAAATTAAAAAAAAAAAAAACCTCAAAAGTGAAAAGAGTTAACTCGTTAAATCAGAATGGTTCTCTTTGACCCACTCTGGTCTATTGTGTAAATATTTATTTAGACTATTTTAATAATACATATTATTTACCCCACTGTAACATCATGTAAACTAAATATGTTTTTAAACAATTTTTAAGACTTGTAATTACCCTGAAAATAAGGTTTATAGTGCAAAGACCAGACCCTTCACTATGGGGGCACCCCTGGGCTGCCCTTACAGAGTCTCATGACTCAAAGCCGCTTTGTGACTCCCTTTTACATAATCCTCTTTTCTTCCCAGCTCATTCTCCAGAGAATAAACCTCAAGACATTTCTCAGTTCCAGATCTCTTTTTCAACATTTTGGGTGGGATTCATTTACACTTCATGGGGAAAGGCTCTAGAATGTACAGGAACAAAGCACCTAAACTGGGCAAACAAGAAACCCCAGAGTCTAGCGTTGTTTGGCAGAGAAAACAGCCTGATTATTTGGAAAGCAGTTGTCTTACAACTTTTAATGACTCCCTAAACAAAATGGGAACCTGAGGATTAAAATAGTTCTATATCCACAATCCCCAAATTCTAAGAGAAAAGTATAGACAGATTCTATCTTGTGTCATAATTCTTACTAACACAAGTTAGACTGTGAGCATCTACCGGGATGCATTGTCTGCTATAAATGTGAGCCATATCTGCAGTTTAAAAGTGTCTAGTAACCATTCTTTAAACAGTAAAAAGAAGCAAGTGATATTGACTTTAATATATTTTATTTAACCCAGTATATAAAAAAATACTATCATTTCAACATGAAATTAATATGAAAGTTGAGATATTTTACATTATTTTTATTTCTTATTAAGTCTTTAAAATCTAGTGTATAGTACGTCTCAATTCAGACTAACTGTATTTCAAGTCTTCAGTAGCCCAACATGGCTAGTGGCTACCATATTTAACAGTGTAGATCTCTACCCATTGCTTCAAGTAAAACACTCCGCTAATTTCAGAGTGTGGCCAGTTTGGGGGCTGATTATCCATCTTGGTGGTTCCTCAGGTCTCTAATTTCTTCATTTTGTTTGCTTGCGGCCATGTGGCTGCTTTTTTGATCTTTTGCAGAGTATGCTAGTGGAAGAAAGAGGGCTAAGAACTGTCCCTGCAGGACTGCCTAGTTAGGTGTCCTCTGGAAGGAAAGGAAAGAGGGTCGGTCCAGTCATTAGCTTAGATGGGGTTTGTAGGATCATCTGCAGATTAAGGCTTAGTCTGTCACAGTTTTGAGTATGAAAATGTCCTGTGACACATGCTCTTGCTCTTTCCACATTAAGTGGAACCCTTAACAGAACTGATTCCCAAGGCAAGTCCAAAAGGTCATGGTTGACGAAAACACAGCCTTTCCAATACTCTGGAACATGTTCTGTCTGGGAAATATACCTGCAGAAAAAAATAAACAGCAAGCTCCATCTCATTTCAGAGAAATTCCTTGGTCTAAAAGATTTCTGAATCTCTTTCTGGTTCTCAGCAGAAGTAACTGAGCTAGATCAGGAAGGGTCTGCTTCAAGAAGATTCCTAGGCCCTGGGGATTCTTCAAGCTGCACAGACACCATCCTTTCCGTCAGTGACACCCTGGGAATACCAGTATACTGACCAGCGTCAGGGAATCCACACAGTCTTCACTCCTTCCCTGTACCAGGCCCTGTCCTCCCGAAGCCCTGCTGTTTAGGGACCACTGCCTGTCTCGACTGTGTGAGTGTGTCTCCCTATGTTAGTCCCTGGGCAGTGCTTGCTAAAAGCTTTTGTTGAATCAACAAAGGGCCTGAGGCCTTAGGATTTTTGTTAAAGGTCTCTGCCCCAGGCATGGTGCTCAATATCTTGGCCAAATAAATTACTTTCCTTGAATATCCAGGAATCTTTTAGACTAAAGCAATGAGGAGTTACCACCTCACCCTCAAACTCCATGATCAATGCCTTAGTGTTGTTTTTGTTGTCTGCCTTGATGTAAAAGCAAGAGTATTTGGAGCAAGATGCTGCAGTACTCCAAATACACAATAGGCCTTTTCGTTATCATCCATTCAACATTTCTGGTTTAGGTATATGTAGATGGGCCATGTTGTTTGTCCAGAGGAAGAGATTGTAAAGATATAAGAATAATTTTTTAGTCCTAAATGCTGTTTTGTTTACTTTCTGTCAAGATATTTACCCGTGTCAAATTCAAATAGTACTGTGTAATTATGTATAAAGTTTTTTTATTTATTTGAAATTAGACTAGATATACATTTTTAAATATAATGTCTGGCTGGACAGTGTTCTATTAACTCATTGAATGTGTTTTCTTTGTCTTGTGTTAATAAATATTGATGCCTGATTGTGTTTAATCCTTCACACATTGGGTGGGGGCCAGGGAATTGATAGATTTTATTTTATTATTTATTTATTTTTAAATTTGCCTTAGGGCACATGTTCTCACCAGAGAGAGAAGGAAAGTGAGAAAGTACTCTCGATGGGGATGGCCATGCTGCAATCTCTTCTCCATTTTCCTTTCAGAACTTTGGACGTGCATGCACATGCCCCCGGAGTGTTTTTCAAGTTGCTGGGTCTGGGACTTGAACTGCACAATCATCTATGTGGGTTCTAACAACTTTAACCACTATGCTAGCTAGATTTTATTTATGTCTTTTTAGATTTTTGCCATAGGGTGCATACTCTCGCTGGAGAGGAGAGAGACAGAGACATAGGGAAAATGAGAGATCACCACTACTACCACCACCACCACCACCCCCCCCCACACACACACACACACAGGGAATGGCCATACCACAAACCCTTCTCTTCCAATCTTGGGATTTGGAGGCATGAAAATGTTCATGTCTGACATGATTTTGAAGCTGCCAGGTCAAGGACTCAAACCATAGTCAACCATGTTGGGAATCCAGCTGCCTTAACCACCACACCACCTGCTGGCCCCCCAGTTGATAGATTTTTTTAAAAATGTAACTGCAGATGATAACGCAGTGATTACTGGATTAGTCTAAGGAATGTGAACACAGAGATCCAAAGTTCTAGTATGAGTCAGTCCCATAGCACAGTGGTTAAGGAACCAGATCCACATGGCCAACTGCAGTTTGAGTCCTGGTCCAGCCAGCTTAAAAAACACACCAGGCATGTGTATGTACCTGCCAAACATCCTGACAGAGTGGAGAAATGGAGACGGGATTGTGACATGACATTGTGCTTTCTCTTTCTCTCTCTTGCTTTCTCTCCTGTCTTTTTCTGTCTCTCTCTCTTGCAAGTGTACGTGCCCTTTAGTAATAAAATAATAGTGGGGCTGGCAGATGGCATGGTGGCTAAGGGTACTGGACTCCTACATGGCCGACTGCAGTTTGAGTCCCAGACCTGCGGCTTGCTTTCTCACTTGTCCCTCTCTGGTCAAATTAAAGTTAAATAAAAGAATTCTTTAAAATAATAATAAAGTGCCAGTAAAGGAGGAATGACAAAGAACTGTCATTTTGAAAACTAAGGAGACTGCTGTCAGGACTGTTGAGGTAACAATTACAGTTTCTTTTCCTTTTCCTCCTAAGCATGTGGCATTAGGTAGTTTTAAATTATTGGTAATTCTTTTTCTTTTTTTGTTTTTTTAAGAGGTTTTTGCTATAGGGCGCCTGCACTCACCAGACAGACAGAGACAGAGAGACAGAAAACGAGAAATCACCCCCCAGGGGGGATGGCCATGCCGCAATCCCTTCTCCATTCTCTCAGGATCTTGGGCACGTGCACGCACGTGCACACACGCGCCCGGGTAATTCTTTCTAATCGGTAATTGTTAGGTCAGATTTCAGCTCTTCCTAAAGAATATATATTGTGTGTGTGTGTGTATATATGTATGTATGTGTGTATGTGTGTGTGTGTGTGTATATATATATATATATATATATATATATGTATTCTCTTTTTTTGAGAGAGATTTTTGCTATAGCATGTGTGTGCAAAATTCCAAGAGGAGACTGGAGGAGAAAAGATTGCCACATGACCATTCCCCTAGGGTGGGGGTGGGGGTGATTTTTTGCTTTCTGTCTCTCTGTCTCTCTCGTAAGTACACATGCACTATAGCAAAAAAAATCCCTTAAAAAAAATTCTAAGAAGTATGGTCTGAGCTATTTTGGCAGCTGAGAGAACATTTTTCCATTTAACATACATTTACCGAATGCTTAGACGCTAAGCCTAAGATGCTGTGTTAAGAGCTGAAACTAGGGGCGAGCAGGTGGTGTGGTGGTTAAGGTACTGGAAACTCCCACATGGTCGACCATGGTTTGAGTCCTGGACTTGGTGGCTTGCTTTCTCACTTTCCCTATCTCTCTCTCTGTGTCACTCTCTGATCAAATTAAAATAAATGAATAAAATAATTCTTTAAAAAAAAAAAAAAAACTGAAGCTAGGGTCCGGCAGGTGGCATGGGGTTTAAGGCATTGGACTCCACATGGATGACTGGTTTGAGTCCCAGACCTGGCAGCTTGCTTTCTCACTTTCTCTCTTCCTTCTCACTCTGTCTCTGGTCAAATTAAAATAAAGTTAAACTTTAATTCTTAAAAAAAAAAAAAAAAAAAGCTGAAACTAGAGAGAAATATTAAATCATCTCCCTGAAAGAGACACAGGAAAAATAATCACAATACAATATAATGAGGGTTAAGCATAGAGGACTAGGGCCAGCAGATGGTGTGGCAGTTACATCACTGGAGTCCCCTGTGGTTGATCACAGTTCAAGTCTGGACCTGGTTGCTTCAAAAATCACACGGGGTGTGCGTGCATGTGTGCCCAAGATCCCAGGAGGAGAAGAGTTGGCAGTGTGGCCATCCCAACCCCCCAAGGGGAGGTAATTTCTTGCTTTCTGTCTCTCTGTCACTCCAGTAACCGCATGTGCCCTATAACAAAAATCTCTCTTAAAAAAAAAAAAAAATAGAGGACCATGCCAGCAGGTAAGAGAGGCATCAATCTAAATGGGCTGGAGAATAGTGAGAAATAGCATGCTGGAGGAGGTGACAGCTGAGTTCGAAGGATGAATCAAATCAGATAAACAGGAAGGCAAGAGCTGCGTATTCTGGAAACTGCAATTCACTATTGGGGTTGCTAGGTTTCGAATGTATGTGTCCTGCCAAAGTTCATATGCTGGAATCTAAGACCCAGTGTTAGAGTATTAAGAGGGAGGGCATTTGGGAAACTGAAGTCATGAGGGCTCTGCCCTCACAAATGGATCTGCCCTTACTGAAGTGCCAGAAGGGCCCGACTGTGGTGGCACAGTGGCAGCATGATGCTCTACAACGCTGGAAGCCATGGAAGATGAGTGCTCGGTTCCCTGGCCAGACCGTACATGCTGGGTGAGTGTGCACATGCCTGTTACCCCGGCTGGCTGAGAAAGGTTGATGGGGAGAAGGGTCACAGCATGAGAACTGACTGTGGGTGCTTGTCTTCTCTCTCTCTCATGAAAGAAACTTTTAAAAAAATTTTTTAAGTGCTGGAGGAAACAGTCCCATTACCCTTCTGTCCACATAAGGACATAGCATCCACTCCAGATGAAGCAGCCTTCAAGCCACCATCTTAGAAGCAGAAGCTAGGTCCTCAGATACTGAAGTTACCCAGGCTCAGGTATTTTGTAATACACAAAAACTAAGAGAAGGATGCAAGGTTTGAGAGGAGAAAAGTAAAAATTAAGGGAGCTTGAGCCATGGACAGCTCACTAAGGGTCTTGTATCATGCTCAAAATGTTGGGTTTTTAGCCAGAAGGCAAAGGAGAGTCAATGAGGGATATAAAGCGAGGGAAATAACATGCTCAGATTTGTGACAGAATATTGTCCTTGTAGTCATACAGAAAATAGATCGGAATGGGTGGGGAAAGGGAGCTAGAACCAGATGTGGGGCGATCACTTGAGGGGGGGCCTTTGCAGTAACTGCAGTGATAGGAGTGCTATGGTAAGAACGTCTCTTCATAAATTTCAGGTGTTGAAATTTAATGATGAATGTGATAGTTTTAAAATATGATTAGATCCTGGGACCAGCAGTTAGCGTAATGTCTATGTCACTGGACTCCCATGTAGTCGACCGCGGTTCGTGTCCCGGACCCGGTGGCTTAAAACTCATGCCAGGCACGTGTGCGTGCGTGCCCAGGATCCCAAGAGGAGAATGGAGGAGAAGGGATTGCGGCGTGACCATCCCCCCTGGGGGGTGATTTCTCGCTTTCTGTCTGTCTGTCTGTCTGGCGAGCGCACGCACCCTACGGCAAAAACCTCTCCAAAAAAAAAAATAAAAGTTAAAAAAAAAAAAGATATTAGATCCCAAAGCTGCCTTTGTGTCTGGGACGAAAGCTCTTGTAAAGAGGGACTTCAGCATTCAGCTCCTGTGCCCTTCCACCATGTGAGGACACAGGATTCCTCCCCTGCAGAGGATCCTGGCAGTGGAGAAGAGCCCTCACCAAGCAACCAAGCCTGCTTGTGCCTCAATCTTGGACTTCTTGACCTCCAGACTGTAAAAGATAAATTTATGTTTTGGGGATTTTTTTAACGTTTATTTCTTCCACGAGAGAATCAGAAGAAGACAGGCACCTTCAACAGCAATCTCCCCGCCCCACCCCAAACCTCATCCGGTCAGGATCATGGGCTTGCATATGAGACAGGGAGACCTTGGCGGGTGAACCCAGGGCCTTGCCATATGGCTTCAGCATCTCAGAGCATTGGGTTATCACTCTGCCACTATGGCTGGCCTGAATTTCTGTTCTTTATAAATTACTCAGGCTCAGGTATTGTGTTACAGCCACATAAAACAGATTGGGACATAAAACAAGGGCACTTCAAACAAGGTGATGAGAATGGTGAAGAAAGGCCATGCATGAAAACTGGAGAAAGTAAGATTCCACCCACTGAACAGTGAGGAAATGAGGAATTCAGAATAATTCCTAGGTTTCTGGCGTGGAGGTTCGTCAGCTGTGAGACTATCAAGATAAGGAACGAAGGGGAAGAACAGACTTGGGAAAGAAGATGCTATATTTCATTCTGGTTATGTTCAGTTGAGGTGCTGGAACTTGCAAGGGAAGAGGTCTAATAGCTGAGTATTTAGGCCTTTGCCTCAGGAGAGCGCTGGACTAAAACTATGTGTTTGGGAGACCTCCTTTAAAAAAATAATTTATTAGGGAGCAGCAGTTGGTGTAACGGCTGTCGCTGGACTCCCATGTAGTCAACCACAGTTCAAGTCCCAACCCGGTGCCTTAAACTCGTGCCAGGCACGTATGCGTGCAGGCCCTAGATCACGAGAGAATGGAGGAGAAGGGAGTCCAGTGACATAACCATTATACCACCCGCTGGTCCCAAAAAAGACTAATTTTCATCCCAAGGCAAATGTCCATAGGCCAGCTTGGGTCAGACATTCATGGTTGGTAGCTAGGGATGTTTGAGAAGGTCCCATAAAAAGAAGAGATGGACAGCCCTCTAGTTGTCCAAGAGCCACACAGACTAATTCTATGGGTTTAATTCAAACTTAGGTAAAATGAGTAAGGCAGTGAACAGTGTCAAGTTATCTGGGACAACCCTGTTTTGGAAGTGTTACCTGAAATACCTGGTTGTAGGTAACATCATTTCTGCAGGGATTTAGGGCCTGTCCTGGGTTAGGTTTTCCTGTGTGTTTAAATATTGAAGGATTTAAAAAAAAAAAAAAAAAAAACGGAGGAGGAGAGAATGTGGGGTGGTGGTTAAGGGCGCTGGTTTGAGTGGTATTGTGGAGACCAGCAGATGGTGTAATGGTTATGTCCCTGGACTCCCATGTAGAACTTGGCTGCGTGCTTCCCCCACCCCATCTTGTCCCTCGCTGGTTTTAAAATATTTAATTTGACCAGAGAGAGACAGAGAGAGAGAAAGTAAACCACCAAGTCCAGGACTCAAACTGTGGTAGGCCTTGTGGGAGTCCAGTGTCCTTAACCACTAGGCAACCTGCCGGCCCCAATACCAACATTTTTCTTAGTGATTTTTACTATAGGGTATGTGTGCTGGCCAGAGAGAAAGAGCTCGCAAGAGAGAGAGAAATCATCCTCCCCTGGGGTGGACGGAGGGGTGGGGGGTGGGGATGGCCATGCCGCAGTATCTTCTCCATTCTCCTCTCAGGATTTCAGGCACTGTCGACTACAGGAGAGTCCTGCGACATAGCCATTGAGTTGTTGGCCGGTCCCCCCAATACCAAAAGGTTTTCTTTTAGAATTATTTTAACTATTATTCTATTTATACATACATACATACATACCAGAGAGGGAAGAGCAAGAGAGTGAGACAGAAAGTGAGAAAGCAGGCCACCAGATCCAGGACTCAATTGCAGGCGGCCACGTGGGTGGGAGTCCAGCACCCTTAACCACACTATTGGCCAGTCCCTCCAATACCAAATTTCAAAGAGAAAATAAACCATAATTCTTTCTCCAAAAAGTAGACACACATTTAAAAAGTTTTACACGTTTTATGAACATATCATGACGGCTTAGCACTTTTTAAAAAAAATTTTTAAAAGGTTTTTGCTATAGGGCACGTGCACTCGCCAGAAAGACAAACAGAAAGTGAGAAATCCCCCCGCCCCCCCTAGCCAATCCCTTCTCCATTCTCCTCTCGGGATCTTGGGCACGCATGCACACACACCCGGCCTGAGTTTAAGCCGCCGGGTCCGGGACTGTAACCGTGATCAACTACATGGGAGTCCAGCCACATAGCCATTATGGAAACTGCTGGTCTCTAACATTTTATTTTTCAACACTGTACGGTATGTAATTTTCTAAGAATAGTCTGGGCAGTCTCTGCTCTAACGCGCTGCGCCAAGTAACACCGTAAATGCCCTGCTGACGCCTGTTTTAAATCAATCTTTGTAGGAAATCCTTTCACGTAAATAAAGAGATACAATTCACGGCTATGTGATGGGATTAAACCTCAGTGAACTGAAACGAGCTGAGGAAGACAAGCCGCCACCCTCCACTCCACGAGAAGCGGCTTCGCTCAGGGGCCGAAGCTCTAGGCCCGCCCAGCCCAGGAAGCGGGAGCCGAGGACAGCGACGGCAGCAGCAGGGCCGCTCCGCGGACTCGGCCGGAGAGGGCCCCCGGAAACGTGGGAGGCTGGGGAGCGATCGTGGGGCGAAAGGGAACCCCGCAGTTTCCACCGCCAAATTTCGCTGGAGTCACACCTCCCGCAGGCACGCCTCCGCGCTCGGAGACCCGGCACAAGATGGCGGCGAGTCACGTGAGTAGCGCGGTGACGTCGGACGGCGGCCCGCACGGAGGCGCCGCCTTATCTTCACCCCCAACGCACTCTCGCACTCAGTTTTGCCCCCCT